GTTTGTTGCAAGGTGGCAAATTGCTGGGAGGCAGAGGCAGTTATTTTTCCCTTGTTTTCCTCCCCAAAAGCTAGGTGCATCCTATACTCTGGAGCGTCTTATACTCTGAAAAATACAGTATTTATCAAATGTAGGTACCCCCATCTCACTACCAGAGAGCTCTAAACTAAAGTTGAATATGGTATCTTGAACACACGTTAAGAATTAAACGTAATTGCATCTGGGGCGTGGGGGGGGGATGCATGAGTGAACAAAATCCCAAATCCATGGGTACTTTTATTGATGACTAGGAGCACGGTGGCTCGCCTGGTTAGCACTCTGGCTTGCATGTTCGCAAGCTCACATATGAGACACGAGTGCTGCCATGGGACGGGGTGAGCTTTCGTCCTTCGGTCCAGCACCTGCTATTGGCAATAACGGAGCCCTCAACTGGGCCTCCCCTGGGCAACAGCGATGTCACCAGCTAATCCTTTCAACCTAAAAGCGCCTTGATGTTTCTGACATGGGTGGGATAAAATTAATGACTGAAATCATGACTTAAACAGCGGATTATTTTTCGGACTTCATTGTTTTATCCCCTGATATTTAGACCTGATTTTGAGTATTGAAAATAACAACATTTGTGTTACTTAATTAGGGGGTTTATAATTCAGAATATCAGGGGCACTTCTAGAAGTTGCGAGTGACAAAGCAAACAAGTCACTTCTTCCTTGAGCTCATTCCTTTCACTGGGAAGAGGCTACCTAAACAGAGCATTGTTTTTCGGTTTCCAAATGGAAAATTCTAATTATTAAGTAATTAAATAACTAAACCCTTACTTTCTCTTTATTATTAGGTATGGGGCAACCAAATTATTCCTTCCAATATGCAGATAAAGAAAGCAACGGTATTTCTCAACCCTGCAGCTTGCAAAGGGTAAGGTTCTTTATGTTGTTGGTTTTCCTGATTTTTAAACCACAGGACGAACAATTGAGGAATTAGGTATGTCTAATGTTCCATGCGCCTTCGGCGTTTAGTCATGCCAGCCACATGGCCACAGAGACGTCTTCGGGCAGCGCTGGCTCTTCGGCTTTGAAACGGAGATGAGCACCGCTCCTTAGAGTCGGGAACAACTAGCACTTATGTGCGAGGGGAACCGTTACCTTAATGTTACAAAGTGAAGGACTAGGGTAATATGATAGTGTTAGGAATATAATTCTAACGGTTGGGTTGGCAATATATAAATCATGTAACAATGCTNATAAAGAGATGCTAACACTTTTGAGCAATCTTGTCAAAGACTTATGCTTTATATAAAGAGATGCTAACACTTTTGAGCAATCTTGTCAAAGACTTTTCCTTTATTTTATCCCTGTTTATGATTACTTTTAAAAATTGTATGATGTCATTAACATAGTTGTGTTATAATGTTACTGTGTTTTCACGCATTAAGTCTTTACATTTGGCTCACTCCTCCCGCCCCCCAGTATGCCCTCCCTACACACCACTTTGGTCATGAGACTTCTTAATGAAAGCAAATGTATGCTAATTTCTTGACATCCTTCTTTTTGGCAAATGTTAGGAGAAGTAGAGAGAGTTAGCATATGCCAAAATTCAGAAATTCAAACTCAAGAGTGCCTAGTGTGCTGTTTTGTGTATATATGTGCAGATTGAAGAAAGGGGGGTGTAATAGGAAAAAAATGAGGGAGCAGTTCTGATGCTATCCATCATCAGCTATTATGTCGGGAGGGGGACAAATTTTCTGGCCAGCTATGCAGTTTATGGAGAAGGTTTTTTGTTTTTTTTAATGCCATACTATTTATTTACATAATGGAGAATTTGGTTAGTTTGAACAGTGTTGTGGGTAAAACATCAATCCATTATATAAACTAGTACAAGGGTCATATATCCTTGTCCTGAATAAATATCTAGTTAAAGATATTAATAACAAATGTAATATCACATAAAATTATGATTGCGGAAATAGTCTACATTCCTAACCCCACCGTCCCTTTGAAAAGTTTTGACTTAAGATTTCTGTCTGCCGAAGCAGAAATCCTTTTTAAAATGCGCACATATATCTCCCTTCCATAAATTTAGCTTATTTAATATTTATTTTTGTCTTTTCTCCTCTTCCCCCTGTTATAGCGATAACCTGCTAAGGAGAGCTGCATGCCAAGAAGCCCAGGTAATACCATCCAACAAGATCAAATTAGATTAAAATCCCCTCCTTATCTCACTTGTGCAGGGTCCTGGAGATTCTCCCGGTGGGTCTGTTCTACGTGAGTAGCCTATCAACAAGGATGTCATTATTTAGTTGCCCAAATATTACAAATACTGCTTTCTTGTTCTTGCCAAGCTTAGGCTTTGCACCTAATTATACTCAAATTCCGCAAAGTATAAAATCAGTGGTGAACAGCTTCCAGATATTTTTGATAATTGAGAAGGATATTTCTTCATAGGCATTTGGGGGAACGGATATTTCTTAAGACTATTGGTACTCAGTACTGTTGGCAGTAACCTTTACACTGTATTTTTTTAAAAAATCTCCACCTTTGTTATTATAAAAATTGTTGTGCTTTAGAGTTGTCCTTTGTTCTCCTGTCACAACACATCTGGAGGGCACCAGCCTGGGACCAACTACAACAGCACAACAATAAATTAATAAAATTTGTAAGATTCACATTCTAGTTAATTGTACCTGTGTGAGTCATAAAGACCTTTACAGACCCATGTGCATTATGGCCTTAATGTTTTGTTTATTTTTATGTACTGTATGTTTTGGAGTATAAGGCGCATCTTTTCCCCCTAAAAGAGAGTGAAAATTTGGGTGCGTCTTATACACTGAATGTAGCCCCACCCACCGGCCCCACCCTTTGTCCTCTGCCTTCCAGCAATTTACCTCTTTGCAGCAAGCGGAGACTTCAATAGGCTACAACAATCCCTGCAACCTGAAACAGCTGATGATCGGGAGAAATTGAAAGTGAAACTTGCTGTTTGTTCCACAAGGCAAATTGCTGGGAGGCAGAGGCAGATCTTTTTNTAGATAGATAGATAGATAGATAGATAGATAGATAGATAGATAGATAGATAGATAGATATCTGCTTTAACACAACTGATTTGAACAAAAAACTCATAAATTGTCTGCCCTTTTTCCTTTCTAGCAAAGCCAGAACTCTTTTTGAAAAGAATGCAGCTCCAATTCTTCACTTATCTGGTCTGGATGTGACTGTGGTGAAGGTAAAAACTAAAAAGAGTTTTTCAGTATCTCTTTCTGGGAGAAAAAAATCCCTCTTTTGGTATATTTTAGCTTCAGTCCAGTTTTTCCTAGGGGAAAAAAGAAATAAACCCTACTTGATACTTGCTATTTAAAAAATAAATAAAAATAAACCATATCTTTTTTTAAAGAAAAAGCTAAGTCTTTAATTATCAATTAAAGTATCTTAAGGACAGATGTAATATAGTATTTTGGAGTATCAGCTATTTATCCCAGCATGCAAGCAGAATATTGATAATTCTGCCTTACGAAGCAGAATTTAAAAAACTGCTACGAAGTATTTGAGATTGGTTGAGAATAGTATTTTGCCTCTTTCAGAATATATTCATTGGGAAGGCTTGAGTTTGGTGATGAGGTTGTTAACAATGAAAGGAAGGGAAAGCTTGCAATTGTTAAGCTGTGCTGAGCTAGTGAAGGTTATATGAAGAAAATATTACATGGCTTTTCGTTTGAAGCAGGAGAGTGTTAAATGCAATGTGTTTCTGTGACCTTTCTGGCAACTCAGACAGATCATGAAGGGCAAGCAAAGAAGTTGTTGGAACTGATGGAAAACACCGATATGATCATCATTGCAGGAGGAGATGGAACAGTGCAAGAGGTACTGTAAGGATTTTCCTACCCATCTTTTCTCCAGCATCTATATTGAAAACTTTTAATTTTTGATTATAAGTTATAATCTTAATATATGGCAACTTTGAGTTAATGTAAACTTTTGAGTTATCACTAGAAGAGATTATCTGTTCGCTAAATTTGCAGATTATCTCAACCTATGGGCCCACATACACAAGACATGTTCAGAAACTTGAAGAGCCATGGTGGTGCGGTGGTTAGAATACAGTACTGCAGGTTACTTCTGCTGATTGCTGGCTGCCTGCANGTCCAAAGATTGTTAGAGGTATGTCCAGATAATTGGTACAAGAAGGTACTATACTTCTGTAGCCAATTCTTTTCTTATGGACATTGCAGCAGCACAGAACTTCGCCACTGCATATGTGGTAACTGGGTTAGGGGACACTAGAAGATTTCCAAGGTCCCTTCTGACTCCCTTATTCTATGTTCTACCTTCTGACTGTGGCCGTGAGTGAGAATGGCAAGTGAACTGCTTATGACTTACTTAGTCAAGCTTCCTATATCATGTAGTCCAAGCCAACTTGGCTTGTTCCAGAGACTTTTTTTTTAATTTTGCATGACACAAAATTGTGGGTAAAACAACTCCTTATGCTACTTGCAGGATAATTGGTTTGGATTGTTGGATAAAGACATAGGTATAACATGTCATATGCAAATGTAATCGTACTCCGAATATCGCTCCCTATGAAATGAGCATGCAACAAATGTTCAGTGCCTTTTCTTAGACTACTTCCAAAGAGCCCCATGTGCAAAAACAGATTGTTCTTCCTTAGTAAATGGGATTGTAATTATTTTAGTAGGTTGCTGGAAATGTTGCCTTTTCTTCCTATTGGATTTCTCACCTATTTTGTTTGGGTGGGGAAGAAATCCCAATTCACCTAAGAGGTAGTTTGAAAAAGGAGCCACCCTTGGCCCAGCTGTGCCATAGTAGCTGCTTGCACATCCTCCCATCCCTGCCAGCAGTCATCCCCAGCCTAGTTGCAGTCATGTTATCCTACAACAGCTGCTTGCCCACTCATCAGCTTGCTTGCACCAGGGACTTACAACATCTTGCCAGCTTCCCCACTGATTTTGTTTGTTGGAGGCCAGCAGGGTTAGGGGGTCCTCACTTAATGACCCCAGTCATCGCTTATCGGCACAATGGGGATGGCTGGGATTTGCTGCTGCTAAGCAATATGGTCACATGATATTGCACTTTGCTTAGAGATGGAAATGCCAGGCCCATTGTTCACCAAGGATTTACCTGTAGAAGATTATAGAAATCTTCATAGCAATTGAATTGATAGGGCTTGGCTAGCTCTCCTGATTTCCTAGCTTTTAGAATATTGTGATTTTTATTTGCAACTAGATAACCTGGCATTGCCTGGGTATTTATTTAGAGGGAGAAAATATCTGGACCAAATGTAATTTCTAATATTGGATTTTCCCCCTTACTAGAGGGAGCCCCCTTGTGGAGTACTGTGAAGCTGTTACCATGGCAACTGCTGTACAGGAGAAACCATTTTACAGCAGTACTATAGAAGCCATTTGAAGGCACAACAGGCTATATCTTAACAGAACACACACCTGAGGAGTGTTAGGGGTGTCTTACCCCCACAGTATTTGTTTCCAGAGAGTAAGTCATTTGTGTATCAAGTTTGGTTGAAATTGCTTGAGGCGTTCTAGAATTATACACACACAGCCATTTTTATATATATATACAGATTAACAAGGGAAAACCATCCACTGCATTCTACATAATTATTCCTTCATTATATAAACCCAAATATAATTTGAAGAACGTAGCCAGGCACAGGATTCAAAACCATACTTATCAAATTCTGGGGTTGTGCAAACCCAGACAAAACAGCTTTTTAACCTGGGCTCATACTTCCTTGACAATCACTGCTCAGGCTTCTCTTTTTGTTCTACATTTTGCTAGTTTTCTTTGTTTTCCTTCATGTGTAAAAAGAAGATTGATTGACTGATTGCCTTTATATCCCTCCTTTTCTCTGAAACTACAAGATAGTTGTGGTGTCTATGATAATTTCATCCCCACAACAATAGCTCTATGGCATGGGTGTCAAACTCGCTGTGTCACATGATGTTTCCTGACGTTTTCCCCCTTTGCGGAGCTGGGGTGGGCATGGCCTGCGCATGATGCATCCAGCCCATGGGCCACCAGTTTGACATCCCTGCTCTATGAAATGAATTAAGTTGAGAGATAGTGATTGGCCCAAAGGCATCCTGGGAGCTTTGAAATCTAGCAGCTAATAAAGGTAAAGGTTTCCCTCGTACATATGTGCTAGTTGTTCCTGAATCTAGGGGGCGGTGCTCCTCTCCATTTCAAAGCCAAAGAGCCAGTGCTGTCCAAAGATGTCTCCGTGGTCATGTGGCCAGCATGACTAAACGCCAAAGGCACATGGAACACTGTTATCTTCCCACCAAAGGTGGTCCCTATTTTTCTACTTGCACTTTTACATGCTTTTGAACTGCTAGTTTGGCAGAAACTGGGACAATTAACAGGAGTTCACTCCTTTACACGGCAAGCTCATCGTCTTATCCATTGAGCCACTGCAATACATGTCTATCTGTAATCTTGGATCAATAGGTTGTCAATTGTACTTTATTGGCTTTGTATAAAATTAAACACCCATATAATCCATGTTGTCATCAAGATGATCATTGGGAAAGATGTAAAAAGTAGGATTTAAAAGTAAATAGATGGATTGAAAAATATTTCTGAAGTCAAAATATGCCTGGTTTATTAATAGGTTTTCACTACAAAGCCTCCCCTTCTGGATATATATATTTTTCTTTTCCCCCCATATAAGTATACCATTTCCAAACAAACTGCCATTGTCTAACATTCATTTAGGGCTCTGAATGGAATAGTATTCTTGGAAACTATATAAGTTGGGGGTTTTGCTGCAATGGGATAACCAAAAATAAATCATGTAAATGCAATAGCAGAACAATCAAAAATAGATTATGTAAATGCAGCACCAGAATAAGAAAAATAAATTATACAAATGCAATCGCTCCAAAACATTTCTAGCCCTAAACCTAAGAATCTCTCAGTCATATAAAGTGGCTATTTCTATGCAAGTGAGTTTGAAGAAAGATAATGTAGTCTCTTAGCGGCTGAATGAGTGACTCACCATAAGGAACACACAAGTAAAATAATGTTATATTAATGTCTTCTTTTCTGTATTTTT